TCGCTTTTCATTTCGCTTTTTGCTTCGCTTTCTCTTTGCTTTTTGTTTTGCTTTTTGCTTCGCTTTAAACAGATTTATATATATATTTTTTTTTTAGTTTATTTTTTTTATTTTGAAACTACCAATTTTTTTTTCTTTATTTCATTTTTTTTTTCTTTTCGTTTCTTTTTCCTTTTCGTTTCTTGTTCATTTTCGTTTCTTTTATTTTTTTTCTTTTTATTTCTTTTTCTATTCGGTGGTTCCTTCTTTCCATTTCTTTTCTTTTTGCTTTTTATTTTTTTGTCTTTTTTCCTTCTTTTTCCCTTCATCTTTTTTTCATCTTTTTTCCTTTATCTTTTTTTCTTCTTTTTTTCTTCATCTTTTTTTTCTTTTCATTTTTTTTCTTTTCATTTTGTTTTGTTTTCCTTTTCGTTTCTTTTTCTTTTTGGTTTCTTGTTTGTTTTTGTTTCTTTCTATTTGTTTTTCTTTATATTTCTTTTTCTATTTGTTTTTTTTTTTTGTATTTCTTTTTTTCCTATTTCTTTTCTTTTTTTGTTTTATTCTTTTTGTCTTTTTTTCTTCTTTTTCCTTTTGTTTCTTTTTTTTTTAAAGTATAGTTTCATCGTTGGAATTGTTGCTAGAGCCATTGTTAGATATTTGGATCATAAAGATTTGGCAATTAAGACCAGAATATTGTAAGGTAAGTAGTTTCTGTTACACAACGAAGTTTCAGAATTAAACTTTTGCTGTGTAACCAATATACTTTCATTTGACTCATATATACTTTTGTGTAATATTTAATAGTTTAAGAGAAGTATAAAGTATACTTTAATTAGACTTTAAATGATACATAGTTTATTTTAGAGCTTATTTAAGAATATATATAGAATGATATGTATATTAGTTAGTGAGATTAGTCTTTTGGTTTTAGTGAGTTTTGGTATTTCAGGTTATTGAATTGGACTATTAGTAAGTTTGAAACTTGCTAAGTAGTTAGGGAAATAGGGATATTAGTATTATTAGTATGTCTGGGATACAAGACAAAGATATTTGTTTGTACTTTCTGGTGCTGTTTGTGATAATAAATTAGTTAGTTCATTTTTTGTTAATGATTACGGCCCTCAGTTAAATTGGCTAAGAGGATACAAAGTCTCTTTCTTGGCTGTAACATTTATAGTGCCGATTGTGTAGATGAAACATCAAGAAAATAGCCAATAAAGATCATTGTTTGATAGAATTTTAATAATAATTAATATTGAACAAATTCCAGATTTGTATTGTGTTGAGCGAAATCATAAAGACAATACAGAATCGAGAGATATATTAACAATGAATGATAAAGAATATACCTCGAATTAGTATTGTGTTGAATTAGAGATAATAAGTGAAAGGTTGAATAAGGCAATAAAAACAGGCTTTACTTTGCATTTAGTTAAACTTTGAAAGTCAATAAAGAACAGCGATCAAACGAAAAAGATAATTCAACAAACAAACAAACAAGTAAAACAAAAAAAAAAAAATAAGAACAAACTAATAGAAGTAAAACGAACGTGAATACTAAGTGGACGAATGAACGATTGTGTGATAGTGCAAATTAGTTATTTTGGTCTGTCTACAATAAGACATATTGCAAAATGTAGAACTATAACCCTTATTCAGCAAATATTCAACAAGCTCTTCCAACGAACCTGGATCATCAACTCAAACAGTTACTTCAGACCATGGTAAATATGTTGGCCAAATCCAAAGATCTTCAAGAAGTGCTTGGTGAAATAGAGTTAGTAAAAATTTCAACATTTAATAGAGGAAATCAAGACTTCATAGAATGGTTAGAATCAATTATCCAAGTCTTTGAAGCAAACAATATTCAAAGAATATGATGGTTTATAGTTGTAGATGCTTACCTGTTTGGTCCTGTTTTAACATGATGAAAAACTCAAAAGAACCAGATACAGCATTGGGATGATAAGATGATACAAAATCAAAGTTTCGTATATCAGTTCCGGTGTACCTTTTGTACACCTGCTCTAATGAATCGATGGAAAGTGGAATTGTTAGCCAGACAACAACAAATTGCCGAGACGGTAGAACAGTATGCTATTGATATGATGGCCTTGTTTAAGCGTGTAGTGATTGCAGAGAACCTGTATTCAGAAATAACAAAGATTCGAATATTTGTAAAAGGACTTCATCCTGAATTAGTATCAGCAATTAGACCCTTTAGGTTTAATTCGCTTTACGAAGCTAGTGAACAAGCTATAAGATGTGAAAAAATGTTCGTACAAGAATCTGGCTTGGCTTGTCAAACTATATTGGACACTGTGACTCTTTTTCAAATGCTCTAGATGATTTATCCTATAAAACATATAGAGAAATCAGAATGGCCATTAGAAGAAATCTGACAGATCACCTCCCAAAGTCAAACTTTACTTGATCTAGAAAATGGCAGCCCAGTTGGAGTTGGAATTGAAAAAGATAAGCATCTAATATCTGGTTATTTTCAAGAATTGGCAAAACCAAGTGATGCCAATAACGCTATTAAAAATAATACAGATGTTAGATATATAGATTTTAATGAATTGAATCGAGATGATAAAATGATAGTTGAAAACTCACCTGACATGTTTTCTAGAATGAATAAAGTTACATTCAGGACAAGTTGTAATGGACATGATAATGAAATCGATGTTGAAAAGTGTGAACGTAAGATACCTGTCAGTTATCAAAAAGCTATGAAGATGGATCACCCATTAGATTGAATAATCTTGATTATAGTTACCAAAATGGAGTAGAAATTAAAAGGAAGGCTAGTGTGAAGGATCGCAAACTATGAAAAAAATCGTTAAGCCAAACCTATTTGCCTTGCGAGTCTTGTCCTATGAAAGCGAAGAAAAGAAAAGCATTTGAATATTATAATAATGCCATAAAAATAGTTGATGCTAATAAGAATTATGAGGATGATCGTTGCACTCGAAATGTAAAGAAAATTATGCAGAATGTATATGACGATCATCAAAAGTTCAGCAAAATCAGTACAAGTCATTTAAATAATATTGGCAATCCAAGAAAATCAGCAATGTGAAAGGACAATACCGAATGAAGTCTTGCTGTGAGAATATTATGTTTGAGATTAAAAGTGATAATATAAAATCAGTCGAAAACCAAAAATTGGTCAAATGTTCGGTTTTAGAGAATTGCGCACAAAATATAATCGATGATGAAAGGCTTGAAGAAAACGTTGGCCAGGTAAACAATGTTGAATGTTATGGTGATAGAATGGGAATGACGAAAGACAATTGTAAAATATTTAAAGAAAATATAAAATGCGTTAAAAGTGAAAAATATTAGAAAATAAGTTCGAAGATAGTGACTAAGAATTGGAAAGAGAGTTAGAAAGTATATCAAGACAAATTGAAGATGTAAATAAATGTGTCAAGAGTAATAGTCAAAATGATATGGTTTGTACAGATACAAAGGTCGAAAATGTAATCGAAGTTGAAAAATTTGAAGAGATAGATGTAAGAGTTAGTAAGAACAACAATAAAATAATCCAAACAAATAAGAAAGAAAAAAACTTACCACAATTGAGCAACAAGCTAACTCCAAAGTTCGAATATGCGAATAAAATACCTGATATTAAAACTGCGGAAGATGGATATAAGTCATTTAACATGAATGAATATGAAAAACTACTTGTCGATTTAAATAGATTAGTGAAGTTAAGATCGAATAAAGCCAAGAAATACGAATTGTATTTGAGCCACTTTGGCAATGGTAATTTAAACAAACAATATGATGTTGGATGGTATATAAATAAGGAACACAACCGTGTTGATGAAGTTGTAAAGCAAAAAACTATTGAAGCTTCGTATACAAAGTAGAAAATGAAAATCGAATCGTTTAAAGCTCAAAATAATATAAGCGAATATAAGAGTCAAAAGGATAATATGACATCCTGTAATGTGTTAAATCAGGGTACAAAGATTAATCAAAAATGTGAAAATAGTTGAAAAAAGTT